GTATGTTTGGTGTGCTTAGTTGAGGGTCTCACAGTGTAGCTGGCATGGAAGGAGGACATCCGTGTAGGGGATAGCAGCCTTTGAAAATGAAAGGATTTCCCTCGTCATCCCCATCGTTGCTGTGCCCGTGTGTTTTTTCCGGTTGCGCAGGCAATGGGAGGCTGTTAGCTCGCTCGCTGCCTCGACAATGTGACCAGCAGGGCCTTTGGAAGACTTCTTGAAACATGCTATTATAGGCTGCTTTGTGATGAAAAGAGGTCTTACAAATATCTTGAAATTTAAACAGAGCTATTGTGGGTTTTCCCTTTGTGTGCGTATGTGTGTTTGTCAGCCAAATCATTTGTTCAAAGTTAATCTCAATTACAGAGCATATTGTTCATAATCCCCCATGGCTCCAAAACAATAGCAGAGTGTATGTCTGCTTGAATATATATTTACATACTTACATGTAAAATATGTTTGCTTGTATATATAATTTTACTTCTAAACACGGTGATTCGTGTTAAGGAGATGGATATTTCATGCAGGATCCTGTCTTTGAGCAGCACCATCCTACATCCTACATAAAAGACTGCAGGAAGGCCTGAATGGAGCGAGCAGGGCTTTGATCCTGCAGCCAGTCGGTTGCTGCAGTTCCTGCAGTTCCCTACGCATAGCGCTGGGATTCGTGCTAGCAAAACAGACGGTAGGGTAGAGTCTGGGGTTTTCAGCTTCTTGGAGACCAGGGTGGGGTTGGGTGTCTTTAATTTTAATATCTACAGAATACCTCTACTTTTCTTCTACTCCCTGAGCATAAAGGAATCGACAGGCAACAACTGGGAAGTTTAAATAAATCCCAGGTTGTATATGCTCCGCACAGAGAGCAAGAGAACCCCAAACTACAGTAACCTAGTGTGTAACTAACAGTGAACTTAGGGTGTAACTTAGCAGCGTAGAAGCTCAGTTAGAAGGTGCTCCACACTTTCCCTTTTTACCGATTTCAGAGAAGATGCTTATCATTTTTCAACTGTAGGTATTTAGCAAGGGATCCCTTTAGTAAAATCTTGTTTTATGTCTGGTGAGACACTCTTGAGCAAAACAGGCAACTGTGTGAAGGGTTTGTGGTGTAAATTTTTGCTCCGTGGTGAATGCTCTAATCCTGTCACACTCTGTGTAAAACTGTGGTGATATTATCGAGTTACTATATTCTCCTTTTTGCTGTTTATTGGATCTAGGTGTATTCCTCGTGTAAGTTAACATTATTATATTATATATGGGTGTTTGTATTTTTTTTTCTTTTGCTCTCTTTCTAGGTAACTCTGGGTTTCCTGGCTCTATGTAAGCAGTTTGCTTCCTTCTACCCCTTGCTGGCTGCGTTGCAATAGTAAATTGCTGTGCTGTTTCAAGAGTGTCTCTCCTGTCAGTCTGATAAGATCATACCACCAGGAAGGCATAACATTATAATCCCAAGCACAATGTGATCCTGTTCATTTTAGCTCTTGTACTTGTCAGAGGGACGAGAATAAAGGTTGTGCATGGGTGGAAGGTGAGGCTAGAAGTGAAGATAGTCAGAGATAAAACACTTTGCTAAAAGAGATAAATCCTGCATAGGGACATTTCAGTTTGTAATCAAGGTATTATCTAGAAATGAACTTTGAAACCTGGCTGGGATGTCCTGAATAATACAGGATGTAAAGCTGACATAGAGAATACAGAACTGTAATACGGATTTGCGACAAGGGAAAAAAATTATTTTGTCCTTCATTTATTTTAGAGTTGGTGCCACATTTGAAAATATAGTCATACCAATATCATAGACAAGAATAATAAGATTACTCTACAAGAAACAAATCTACAAGAAACAAGAGATTTCTGGTATTTCTAGACTTACTGTATTTTACTGGAAGAAACAAGTGCTTTCCAGAAAAAGCCTGTGAAGAGAGGCAAAATTTAAGGCATGCCTTAGGGTACGGGGACGTCAGCCCCTTAAAAGAATCCCAGCAATTACCTAACCTGCCAACTTTCCAACAAGATAAATGGAAGCGCTGTAGCTTGAAGGTGCCTTGGTTTGAATGAGATGCAGTAAGTAAGGTCTCTCTGTTCTTTACAGGCATCATAGATCTGATAGTACTTACAAAAGAAGAATAGAGTTGGTGCCCTGCTGACTAAATTGTCCTCTAGAGGAGTATTAGTTACAGAGCTTCTTTGTTAACTAGGCTGTATGTTTAAACCACTGTGAATTTCTCTTATTAGTAGGCTTTTTAATAGCTTTACATATGGTTATGCTAAGTAAATGCAAGTATATCCATGTAATTTACGTATATGATGTGTACATGTACAGTATTTTATATATAAATAAATGTTTGTGATGTGGAAATTGCACATGACTTTATTACTGTTCTGTTAAACCAAGGTAAAAGCAAGCATTAAAATACTGATAATAGGAGAACAGTAAGTCGACTTCTGCTCTTTCTGTCCGGGCGCTTCACAGAAAGTCTTTCTTCTCCTTCTCTTTAATTTCCCAATTAGCTTTTGTGGATAACAGAGCTGATTCTAAAGCCTTTGTATGCTGGAAGTTTCCCCATTGCTCACCTGCTCAGGCTTTCTACCTTAGAAGACTAGGTAAGGCCACGAAGTGTATGTTAACAAAAAACACAAAGTAATCATCTGCAAACCACCCTGTGCAGAACAGCTGATATTTCTCATTTTAGCCTGCTGTAACACAAGGTAAAGGTTGTATAGCACAGCCCAGGCATCTAGATAGGCAACAGCCTTTCGTGCTGTCCTGAGAGCAACCTCATTATCAGCTTTCTTGATGGGTCTGACGAATGAATGCTACCGTAGCATCCTCAGCAGATGAGTTGATTGCGAAGTTCCCCAGCCCAGGGAGGAAATCAGTGCTTACGCTGAGCGCATGTGGGGAGTGCGAGGCACTGCCGGTGTGCTGAGCCCGCCTGGCTGCTCCCTCTGCATGTACTGGGGGGGGTGGTGTGGCTTCGCTCTTTAAATAGGCTGGCGTCATGCAAGCTTTCCTCTTTCTTTTCCGCTTTTGTGAAGGAGTTGCATGAGGTTGGTGAGGAAATCCCTGGAAGGCAGGTACTTGAGGAAACGCCTGGGACTCGTCAGTCACTCCACCCCCATGGGAGGCTGGAGCAGTCAGATACAACCTGATGGGAAAAGTGAACTTCATTCCTGTCCCCAGGTTCTTGCCCACACGCACGCTCGGCAAGCTGGGGAGATGCTGTGGGGAGCAGTCAGGTTTTGCCTTGGTCTCTGAACAACAGATAATTTTATCACGGACAGTGCTAAGTGCTTCATGGCTTTTTGTTATTTTGGCATGTTTGTTTTTCAAGTACTTCGTGGCTTGCCAAAACAAATGAAAGCTATAATCCACACACCCTTTAAAAATCTTTGTTATTCTAAACATAAAACCCTGTGCTTTCTATAACTTCTATCAGTTGGGCGCCTGTCTGTGTTTTTACGCAGAATTTGTATTCCTTTAGAATAGGCTCTATTCTGCTACATTCAGTTTTCAGGGGTTTATTATATGCTTTTCAGCAGCATTTGTTTTATCAGCACTTCCTGCAGCATTCGTTACACATCACGACAGCAGCGATTTGATTCCATTTAGAAGAATACCATATTATGTATGGAAAAGAAGTAATTGCTTACCTGTTTGCCAAATACATTCTACTGTGAAAAATCTCTAGCGTTGCTCTATACTGTATCAAACGGTGTTATTTCTTGTTTACATTTTCTACAGTTAATAGTTTCGAAAAAAACAGTGGAAATAGTTATTGCCCATTTCACAATTAAATTTCCATTTGTAGGGATATGGAAGTCTACTCTTCAGTGAATGCAGAGTCCACACATAGATTGAAGTTTCAAACTTAATTTTTGCTTTTCATATGCCTAATGAAATATATGTACAATTTTGTGCTTGTCAGAAAATGACCTGTTTTATATGTGAGGTAGCTCTCTGCCTCGTTTGCACCTTAATTTGCTAATAGAAATAGTAACGTGCTCGTTAACTTGTGCCTTGCCAACAGTTAGAGGGGCACAGCTATCTTTGCGCTTTTCAGTTTGTATGAGATTTTTCTGTGATGCTTAGGGATTTACATTTTTCCTGACAGTTAAGGGGCATGCACTTGCTTTGTCACAGCATTCTTGGTTTTTCATATCTGATTTTACAATGATTGAAAAAACCAAATTACTCACACAGATCCAAAGACCAGTATAACTCCCATGTTACAGCTTTAGGGAATATGCCCAGCAATTCATAGTTAGAACTCAGATGTGCTTTGACCTACGGAGGAAATTTCTCATTGAAGACACAGCAGTTATGAACTGAAATGGAGCAACTGTTTAGCAGTGTATTCAAATGAAATTGAAGAGAAACTGTGAGTTGTACACTGGTATTTGATGGAAACAGAGAAGCAGCCTTCCTTGCTCCTAGGTGGCCAGCGGGTCCTGTGATGCTGCTGAGGGCAGGGCCTCTTCTTGTGTCTCTTCTGCGAGGTGAAGGAGCTGCATGCGAATTTTAGAAGGGCTGCGTATTTTACACTCTTCTTTTCTCGTTTTGGTGTTGGTTTAAAGAGTGAAGTGTATAAGCTGTGATTGTAACGGTAGTAAACCCCAAAATGAAATACTGTGTGAAAGTGAAGCTGATGTATCATTTTCATTAGTTTTGGTATGCTCAGGCAGAATTTGTGGGATTAATTTTGAAAGCTTAATCCAGATGGAAAAGGTTAAATTCAATGTTGAGTGAATTTGGTTCCAATTCATTTGTTGCCCTTGCTTGTTCTTTTTCTCAGAAGAATTAGAGGTTAAGCAGAGAATTGTACATACTATCCTCATTTTCTGCCATCGTTTAACTACATGAACCAACGTTGAAGACAACCTCTCAGTTATCTGCTGCAATAAGTAAATAAATGGACCTTGTTGCCATGCCGGCTCTCGAGTCCAGCGGCCTGAGTATTAGTTCATACGACTACTTACGTTCTTTTTTCCTTTTTCCTCAGGATTTATCTGGATCCATTGACGACTTGCCAACTGGAACCGAAGCAACCCTGAGCTCAGCCGTTAGTGCGTCAGGCTCTACGAGCAGCCAGGGGGAGCAGAGCAACCCTGCACAGTCTCCGTTCTCCCCTCATGCTTCTCCACATCTCTCTGGCATCCCCGGGGGCCCATCGCCTTCCCCTGTAGGCTCTCCTGTTGGAAGCAACCAGTCAAGATCTGGGCCCATTTCTCCAGCGAGTATTCCAGGTAAGTTTGTTCCAACAAACAAAATTAAACCGATAGACGGGTTTATTAAATAAATAAATACTCCTGTATTCCAAATTAATTTCTTTTCTGAGAATCCTGCATTTTCAGGGCCTTTTTCTGCGAAAAATGCATACTTAAAGCAGGGGTGAATGCCATCTAAACTTCAGCTGCCAAGCCCTTGGAGTGTTCAAAGTTCTGAACTTGACTCCATACATGTGTGTGATAAATGTCTTTATGATTGACCAATACAAATACTTGATCGTAATTTTTGTATTTGGTTCGTGTGTCATCTATCTGTCACATATTTCGCTCTATTATTTACAGGGCTCCTTTTTTGTTTTTACTGTGTATTTTTGTTGGTTTTGGCTCTTGGACTTGTATGGTGGTTTCAGACCTGCAGGATGAGGCACAGGTTTTCCAACCCTGTATTGTGATAATGTAATTTTGGACATGAGTACAGAATATTGTATGAGTTATTTCTTAATATTTGCAAAGGTCAACAAGTTACTAGGAATCCATCCCCATCAGTAATAATTGAAATGCCAGTGGCATGCTTGCTACTCGCCCTCTTGTGCCACATAGAGTATGACACACAGTCATTCGTGTATGTTCAGAAATTTGTGGAAATCTGTTAAGATACCCAGAAGAAAAAAAAGGCATGCATTAATTCCAGTTCTTACCTTGTCCCCACCCATCTGGCATGTTACTTGCAGGGGATCAGGCAGCAATGTGTATTTGGTATTTCAGATAAGTTTGTTCTCTTTCTGATGCTCAAGTTTTTTATTATTTTCTGACATTTTGAATACTATGGGAATTCCTAAGAGTTAGGAGAATGCTGACATTACCCCAGGGATAACATCAGTTGCTGACAAAACCACGAAAAAATCAACATGGAGTTCAGTTAAAAGAAACAAAAGCAATGATGCTTTTTCATTACATGTGCTGTAAACCAAATGCAGGTTAAAATTCAGTGAGCAGCATGTGTTTTGGTATTCAATACAAACGTACCTGTGTAAAATGTACGTGCCTGTTTGTATAGAGAGGTTAAATTAGATAAGCAAAGGGGACAGGACAGTATGCACACAGGAGTGTTGCATACTGAATGTGGCCTGAGCGTGTCAGGCCCTGATGCTGCATGCGTGTCCTGCAGTTATTTCTTCCCTCTCCAGCCACTCTGACTGGCAGCACGTGTTCAGGTGGGGCAGGAATAGCAGGGGCACTGGCAGGACTGGAGTATTTGCATTATGTGCAGTATGGTAGCTTTGTATTTGCAGTGTATTTCCCAGTACGTAGTGCAGAAGCCCGTCCCTGTTCTTGAGTGAGGCCAGATAGTCCACCTAGCTGGAAAGGTAACATTTTCTCCCAGTCAGATTCAGGCAAGTAAATGGATTGGCATTTTAGCAGCCTGATTGCTGAATAGGGAAACGACGTTGTGATGTTGAAAATAGCTTTATTGTAGCCATGATAGATAAGGATGGGAACAGGACAGTGTGTAGGGGAAAGTAATAACTTTTATGAAACCAACTGATCCCTGTGGGATAAAAATAGAAGGGGTGTGGGCCCAGAGGCCAGGGTCAGAGTTGCTTCATCACTTCAGCTGAGCCCAAAAGCTCATTTTTGTGACTGGCCTAGTGAAAAGTATTGTCTCTTCATACAAACCATGCCATCATTTTGCATGGTGATTTTCTGGTCTGCTGCGGTAACACAAAAGCAACTGTTCGTCAGGAAGGATTTTTATGAATGGCACTAAATCAAAATCACCCGCCGCTGTTTCCCCAGTGTGGGCGAGCTCCTGGTCTCTGCAGCTCTTTTGCTAAAGGTGAACTCCCAGGCGTGAGCTAATGCAGCGCTCTCCAGAGGGGAGCCGGGCAGCTGCGGTAGCATTGCTGCTGCTGCCGCTGCTGCTGCTGTGTTTCTCAAGCTACAAAATGACACGAGCAAGGCTGCTATTTAAAACCCTGCGACTAGTAGGACACCGCCGGGTGCTGGGGCTTTCAAGCCGTATGAATTAGACTGTCCTTTCACTTAAGTGTATTCCCACCGTTGTGCTTCATTGCTAGGACTTTGGTAGCTTTTTTTGTCAGCCATATTCACGAGACCCTATGAAAAAGTAATACAGAGCTTGTTTGCATTTCTGCGACTGTTTGCAGCGTTCGGGTTGTGGCCGTTTTTAAACATAGATTGTGTAGTATAGCATCTCGCCTTTAATAATTTTGTTCGCTGCTATTTTCCTCTCTGTTCTCACCCTACCCTTGTTTGTTCTGACCTCATTCCTCTCCTATTACCTCCTGCGATGTTGTGCCACAGCTTCTCCATGTGACATAGATTGGCTCTTTCAATCATTCTCTCTCCAGCAAGTCATTGTAAAATGAGCAGCTGTTGTGTTGCTGATAGCTATGGCTAGGGAAAGCCAAAATGTTGCAGGGGGTTCTTGGTGGGAAGGCCGTTAAAATAAAGGTGTTGCTTTCCCAGGGTTTACTGGAAGAGAAGCATCCTTTTCCCAATGCCTCCTTCCTTGCTACAAAATTGAAGACTAATTTAACATCAAAAGGGCAGACAAACAAACAGCCCCCTATTAAACCTCCCAAATGGCTGATTCTCTTCCACTGCCTGTTTAAGCTGTCTCCCCACCCCTCCGCAAGCCTGCTGCCCCGCATTGCTTTCTGCCACACGCCGTGAATTTCACGGGAATGGACTGGCACAGGCAGCACTGACATTGGCACATCCCTAGCTCAGTGGGCATTTCCTTCCTGTGCTCTCTGAAATACTGGACGGATATTTTGTGTGGTAAGTGGCACACACATATACAGCCTTTGTTTCCATTTGCATTACTGGAATAGACCAGGGAGATTAACCCCTAAGAGTAGAAAAAGCAACTTACACGGGTTTTGTTCAGAAAGATAGTATTCTCTCAAATGGTAACACTTCTCATTCAGACGCACATTCATTACAGCACTGAAATCCTACTCTTTTATGATTTTTAGCGATTCAAAATGGCATTCTGATTTCCTGTTAAGTAGATCATTATTCTGCTTTGCCAGAAATCCTAATCTCTTTATTTTGTAGCCATGTTCATAATTAGGGTATGTGTTCATCCAAAGAATGAGGTGTGATGCCCTGCACTGCTTTGGGTCTTGAACTGTGCCTGATTCAACCCTAAACCATTAGTGGAAGCTGACACAGCACATCATCAAAATGCAGTGCTGTTGCCAGATTTAGTGGCTGTTAATTTCACTTTTCTCTCTCTGTTTTTGTTTCCTTTCCCTCCTGCTCCAACCATTCTGGTTTACTAACAAAGCAAAAATGTAAATAAGCTAAACTCCCCTTTCTCCCCCTCATCCCCAATTTTGATCTCACTGGCCAAAGGCTTTTGTCAGCTTTTTCTCCCTCGCAGTGTAAGCAGCAAAAATTTTTAATAGTAAGAGTTCTGTGGAAGATTGCTGATAGGCCAGAAAAAAAAAGACAAGCAGATTTTGTACGAGTTAATAGATTCTATTATTTTTAAACCTCTGCAGCAATTTTTATTTGTATAGAAGAGTATGCTATACTAATAATGAATAGCAAATGCCATCTTTAGAAATAAGTAAAACTATTTTTTTCACATAGATCAGTATTTTGACTTGCACTTTTAATACATTTACTTTCTGAACAAACAAGCTTATTTTCACTGTTAAGCTGCGTTGTTTGTGTTACAATTATATTGATGTCTTCTTTCACCAAGGAACTTGGATGCGGCTGGAGTTGTAATTTTCAGGAGGAAATCTATGTGTGTATACTCTTACTTAGGAATGTTATTGCCGTTTATGCTAACCAGTGGTAGCACCGTCCTCTGATTAAAAAGACCCCAAATTTTTAGTTCTGATGATTATATGAGTCAATAAATGTGTTCTATTCAGTGATCAGCTCTACTCTCTGCAAACCCGGAGGTCTTCCCCTCCTGTATGGATCAGCTAGCTAGCTTGAAATCCAGGACCCGTCAGAATTACAGCTGGCACTCCAGGCAAAAAAGGATCAAAAGGGGAATGGGATGCCCAAAGAGAGCTGTAACAGGAAATCTTGCCTTGGTGTGCCTGTTAGGCAATGTGTGGATAGACTAGAGTGACTAAAATGCTGAGAGAAGAAAAAACAGGAGCAATAGTCTATCATAGTCCAAAAGGATATTTTAATGCAAAAATCTGAATAGGAGTGATAGTTTCTTTCATGCCTTATAAAAGAAGCCTAAGAGTTGAACTGTTTCCAGAAGTGGCTGCAGTAAGACAAGACGATCAGACAGATCATGTTTTAAACAAGAATTTTGAAAAATCTTTTGCTTGGGATTGAGCTATTCCACATGCTTACTCCATTGACCACCACTACTAGTATGTTATACGCGTGGACTCTTTTAAAACATTATTTGAGGGAGAGAAGACTACTATATTAAGTGAATTTATAATACAATATTTTTTGTTGAAGTTTTACAGATATCCTAAAATAATTGCAAAACATAAAAGGGGATTATATCCTTGTAAAATGGATATGATTCCCCTGTCTAGAAAGATTATTTTAACACATCTATCAATATTTCCCCCTTGGCTTCTCTGGAGGCAAAAATCTTGCAACAGCTTGTTGCAAGGAAGATGCATGCTGTTCATTGGCATCCGGACCAGAAAAAAACAAAACACAAAATGCCATTGACATAGCTGTGTTCTTAATCACTGCTAGCGCACAAAACATCTATTCAGCAGTTTTGCAAATCTAGAATGCTTACAAATGAAATATGTGAATGTTTCACATAGCAGTAGTTTAAAACCTTTTCTTTTGAAGGGTTTGAAAAACATTTAGGGTTTTTCTGTCTTTTGACAAGAGAAAAATAAGCAACTTGTAAGGCACTCTAGCTTGAGGCATTGCTTCTAGCATATGAAGCATCTAACCTGTGATACCTATTAGCATTCAGCCCAGGTCACAACTGATGAATAATGTGTTGTCTCCAGGCTTCGTGAAATAACTAAATAGTCCTAATC